TTTAAAAAATGTAAAGTTTTTGAATTAAATTGATTAAAGATTAAAAAAACAAAACGATTAGAACCTACTTACATTCGGTTCAGTTAAAAAATAAACAGAGATGTAAACAAAGGAAATTGAAGTTAATAAGGTTAATATAATTAAAGTTAAAATTTGTAGCTTGTGATGTTAAGATGCGTACGGATATTGTGTTTGTTTGGAAAACAAAAGAAATACTTGAATTCCAGTTATTAACGTTAATAAAAATAAAAGAGTGAATTATATCCCTTACACAAACAATGAATTATTATTTTTCTTAAAAAGAAAAGCGCAAACGAATACATTAATAAACACCACGTAACATTTTGTTTTTGTTGTACTCAACATAGCAAAACATCACAAACTTGGACATTTAATAAACGTAAGTTAAAAAAAGATGCAAACACTTAAAGATGTAACTCCAACAAAAAAAATGTCTATGCAAGAGTTTGTCAAATAAACATCATGTCCCAAGACGCAAAATAACACTCTTCAGTCACAGCAGCCCAATCTACAGCGTACTCTCATCTGCCTCTGCATCAAATCTATTTAAAAAAATAAGGAAAAAATAAATTATCACTGTTTTCACTTCGCGTAAGAAAAAATACATATAAACACAAATGAATTTTAAATAAAAATATAAGAACCACAGTACGTAACTCATTTTCAAGCTTTATTTTCTTTGTCGTCCGAACAGCTGAAAATTTAAATTCTCCAGCAATGGAATCATGAGAAGTGAGCACAGGTGTCAACATCGTCAGAGAGACATCACTAACGTCAACACTGTCACAGGTTTGACTTTCAACATCCTGTGTTTTTTTTTGTTTTTTTTTTTCATATAAAAAAGGTATGTCAAATATGTATTTATATATTTTTAATAACATGAATCTAAATCGAATTCATAGTTCACCGCAGCCTTTTCCAGTTCCGACGAAACAACTTCATTTTCGCGTGCATTATCGAAATTTGCTTCATCCTGTGATAGACAACAACCAACAACAGTAAATATAATGTATAAGAAAAATAGTTATCTAAAAGAAATATATAAGCAGCATACATTTGGATCTATAAGAGACTTAATGAACGCTGAGATTATGTCTTCCCTGATACAAATTTTGGAAACTTGATATTTGGGCTCACTATTTGTGTTCAAATCCTTTTGCTTAATATTTATCTTGAACAACATTGACTTTTCATTCAGAACATTTAACTCATTTGGAAATTGATCCAAATCGGCACCCTAAAAAAAATGAAAAGGGAAAAAAAATTATTCTAAATAAAAAAGAAAAGAACATAGACAGCGCAAACAGAGAGCACAAAACGACAAAAAATACATTTTAACCATAACACAGCAATTAAAAAACAAACCCTCTTGAAATGCAGCTCGCGCAATTCAGCAGCACTCATTCCCAACAAAGACACACAGTCACGATCAAACAGAATAAAGGATGCGGAATCTGTGTTATCCACAACTCTGACCTGAACACTAAATCTGGAGTTTTGCGAAATTGTATATCAGCAACGTACATGAATGATACGGATTAAAGACGGGTTATAAACTAAGAAGAATATTTTACCTCAGATAATAATCTTCCAAATGTTTTTGGCAGTTCTTACAATACCACTTCTCAAAATCCTCATAAACGAAAAATGGACACTTTTTGCATGACTTGTACCACCAGTTGTATTTGCTCTCAATTGCCTTTATAGTCCCGTATGTGATGCAGGTAGTTACCTTAATTAAAGCAATCGCAGTTTAACATAAAATATCATCAATACAAAATTGACAGAATTAAAGGAAAGTAAAAATAAAATTTGAACATTTACCTCAACACAAAGTTTAACATCACTGATAGACTTTTTTTCAGTCTCCTTAAGAAAATCATTTCAAGATTTTTAAAACAAAGATGGAAGATTTTTAAAACACAGAACACAACATGTTCATCCAATAAAACCATTTCAAGATTGTCCTCCAAATTTTTACGCTGAAAGTTAGGAACTTTCCAAGTCCGAACCACCTTCACCTTAATCCTCCAGTCCTCCTTGGCAGGATTAACATCCTTCAGAAAATCATATTTTGAACTCATATTTTGTGTAAGAAGAAAAAACAGAGAAGCAATCACCGACGTTGAAGAATAATGTGTATCAGGATTTGTATAAATGAGAGTGATTTATAGTTTTTGAATTGTCTTCTTTAAAAAATGTGAAGTTTTTGAATTAAACTGAATAAAGATTTAAAAAACAAAGATAACGACAAAAGAGTGATTCAGTAGTTATAAACGAGATTTTCATGGAATAAAACAGTCATTTGTTTTAATAACAATGAATATCCCTTTTTTTTTCAAAAAACGTAAAGATTTGAATTAAACTCAATAAAGGTTAAAAAAACGATTAGATTACATGATAACCACCAATTATTTAAAAAACAAAGATCACGACAAAAGAGTGATTCAGTAGTTATAAATGAGATTTTCATGGAATAAAACAGAAGTTTTTTCTAATAACAAAACACTCATACCTGATTCCACTAAATCAAGAGGTTAATAAAAGATTCAAATTTAAAAATCTGAAGATAAGGAACAAAGGTCGGGATATGTATATATTTTTTTTTTACTAATTAATTTTTTTTCGAGTAAATAGAATTGTATTCTTTAAAAAATGTGAAGTTTTTGAATTAAACTGAATAAAGATTTAAAAAACAAAGATAACGACAAAGAGTGATTTAGTAGTTATAAATCAATGAATATCCCATTTTTTAACAGTCATTTCATGGAATAAAACAGTCATTTGTTTTAATAACAATGAATATCCTGTTTTTTTTTTTTTCAAAAAACGTAAAGATTTGAATTAAACTGAATTAAAAAAAACGATTAGATTACATGATCAACATCAATTATTTAAAAAACAAAGATGACGACAAAAGAATGATTCAGTAGTTATAAATGAGATTTTCATGGAATGAAAGAGTCATTTGTTTTAATAACATCAGCCATAATGATAACAACATTGATTTAACGTTCTTTCCTGAATCTATTTTGCAACAAAAAAAATGAAAGGTGGCTCAATGTGTGGAAATTAACATGCCTTATAATTTTGAGCAGAAACTAGAAAATCACAAGGTAATGTAAATATCCCTCTTTGAGGCAACTCAACCATTAACCACTGTACAAATTTTTTTTATCTTGTTAAATTGCAGAAACTTGATTAATAATCGCTTTTGCTGACTTCTGAAACCAACCACCCAGCTATATTTGCTGTTTTTGTAAAATTAATTATAAGGGAGAAACTGATATAAGAACAAGAGAAAGTATCAATGTAAGAGAAGCCTCATAGCAAGGAGCCTAGACTGACTGCTTTCCATCATATTTTCTCTATGATAATGAGCCTCACGAAAAATTAAAAATAAAATACTGTTTACCCAAAAAAAAAAAAATACTAAGAGTTATAAATATGGGGAAGGATATTGTTACAACCAAGTTTACAAAGGTGAAAATAAATATAAAGTATTAAATTTGAGAAATCATGACCCTACAAAGATGGAAATAAATATAACCGTTGGATCAACATAATCGATCTAACGGCGAGATTGATTGCTAGTCACTTGGTAGTAACACAACTTGGTTGTCACAATATCTTTTCCCTTATAGTTGAACATTTTAGTTAAACATTTTATTATTTTCATGATCATAGTTGAGAATATATAATTTCTATTTTCAATTCTAAATTTTAATGTAACCCAATTTTTATGTGTTTGACGTTATTTGATCATGTTTACAAATGAAAAAGTAAAATGTAATAGCCAACCTAAAATATTAGTTAATTGTGAGTGTGAAAAAATACAACAGAAAAGTATAGTATGCAACAATGCAATATTCCACCCGAAATTGATAGTGCGTTATTATAACCAAATGTTATTTAATTTTTCAAATTCGTTTACCAAAAAAAAATTATTCAAATTCAAATACCTCTAATTACTCAGAGTTTAATTAGCAAGTTTAATTAGCAAGAGAGGATAAACAACGGCGTCATTAAGATAGAACAGGTAAGAGAAGGATTTGGTGGGATAGTTGTACATTCAATTTTGTTAAGAAATTTGGTATGGTGATCATAGAGTTGAATTTGAATAGGTTGACTGAGCTTTGATAGTAAAAATACATAACTAATTTTGGATGGAATTAGCATCTTTCCTTAAATTCCTTCTTTAACTTTTGTGTCGTTATGCTTTTTTTCACACACACTATTAATTGGTATTTAGGGTCGTTTAATATATTTTAATTTTGAGTCTTTGAATACACCGTTATTAGAGTGCCTCTTACATGATTGGTTCACCGTTCACCTGCCGTCCATGCGGTTTTGATTTTTTATTTTTTTTAATTAAAAGGAGAGACGTGCCCTTTTGACTTTGGTAGTGTTGTTTTTGTAATGTATGACCGGAATAATTTATAGGTCAAAAGTTTTGCCAGTATAATGCATAACAACGCGGTTGGAGAACTGACGTTTAAGGACGTGATAGAAAGCATACCGCGTCCTGTACAATTTTTTTGGCACGGTCATCAGAGCTCCTAAGACGTGATACCTTACCCAGGACGTGAAACCCTAAACTTATACATATGATTTTGCACAAAACGCGGCAGGTAAGATATCATGTCTTAAAAGCACTAACAGGCCTGTACTGGACGTGATAGGTAAGATATCACGTCTTAAGAGCTCCGATGACCGTGCCAAAAAAATTGTACAGGACACGGTATGCTTTCTATCATGTCCTTAAACGTCAGTTCTCCAACCGCGTTGTTATGCGTTATATTGACAAAACTTTGACCCACAAATTTTGAAAAAAAAAATTTAATATAAAAAATAAGTTTAAAAATATTATTTCATTAATAAAATTCATTTTTTTTCTGTGGTAGAGCACTTACCACGTCAGGAACCTATCCACAAGTACGCGCAGACTATGAAGTAACCAATGCAATGAGTCAATGACCATGGTCCATTGTGTCTAGCTGCTCCAAATTCTTGATTCCAATAACATGGCCGAGAATAATACGGTGCGTTTCGGAATCTTAGGCTGCGCCAATATAGCTAGGAAAGTGGCTCGAGCCATCGCTCTAGCCCCCAACGCCACCCTCTGCGCCATCGCGAGCCGTTCCAAAGAGAAGGCGGAGAGGTTCGCCGCCGAAAACTTCTTGCCGGAGAGCGTGAGGGTTTATGGGAGCTATGATGAGGTGGTGGATGACCCAGGCGTGGACGCCGTGTACGTTCCCCTCCCCACGTGTCTGCACGCGCGGTGGGCGGTTAAAGCCGCATGTAAGAAGAAGCACGTGCTGGTGGAGAAACCTGCGGCTCTTGACGTGGCGGAGCTTGATCGGATCCTGGAAGCGTGCGAATCGAACGGCGTGCAGTTCATGGATGGTGCCATGTGGTGGCATCACCCTAGGACTGCCCACATCGAACACCTCCTCTCTGTTTCTCATTCTAGGAGCATTGGCCCAATTCATTTTGTATGTGTACCAATTCATTTTCATAATTATAAATTTTTTAATTCCATTATGGTTTTTCTAATTATATATTGTGATTTGTTAATGTATAAAGAAAAAATTATAGTATTGTCATTTGTCACGAACCATCATTAGCTTAAACATGTGGCCATTCATAAAACTCAACTATAGAGCATTGAATTTTTATTTTTTATTTTTTTTAAGTCTACTTCCATCTTAGAAATCGTATTACAGATGTCCTATGCCAGTAATTGATTTGGGTAAAGTTAAAATATTAAATGAAATTCATTGCTAAAAGTGATTCATTTTTGTGCAAGATTTATATTTATATTTATGTTATCAATAAATAAAGTGACATATAATTTACTCTGTTATTTATTTATTTATATGTATATTTTTCCTATTATTTCATTTCCCTTAATCTGTTTTTGCTTTTATTTGAGTTCATGGAGTGCTGCCTCAACTAGTTTGGCATTAAGGTAATATTGATGTTGATAATTTACTCTGAATTTTGAAGATTCACAGCACATCAACTATGCCAGCAACACCTGAATTCCTAGAGAACAATATTAGAGTAAAGCCAGAGTTGAATGCCCTTGGTGCTCTTGGTGACTTGGCTTGGTACTGCATTGGTGCTTCCTTGTGGGCAAAGGGCTACCAACTACCAACCACCGTCACTGCTCTCCCTGACGCCGCAAGAAACGCCGGAGGAGTCAACTTGTCAATCACAGCCTCCTTGCAATGGGACCAACCAAACAAAACAGTTGCAACCATTCGTTGCTCATTTCTTTCTCACACGTCCATGGACTTGTCCATATGTGGTTCCAATGGGTCTGTGCATCTCAAGGACTTCATAATCCCTTACCGGGAGACTAGTGCTTCTTTTGACTTCACATTTGGTGCAAAGTTTGTTGACCTTCACATTGGGTGGAATGTGAGACCAGAGGAAGTTCATGTGCCCACTAATCTCCCACAAGAATCCCTTATGGTGCAAGAGCTTGCTAAGCTTGTTGCAAGTATTAGAGATTGTGGGTCTCGCCCCTCTACCAAATGGCCTGAAATTACTAGAAAGACTCAACTTGTAGTTGATGCAGTGAACAAGTCCCTAGAGCTTGGCTGCAAACCTGTTAGCTTGTAGATGAAGTAACAAAGCATGTTGCCATTTAAGTTACAAACAAGTTGACACTTTATAAGAATTCATTATTTGAGAAGTAAACAAGTTGATGCGTGGATTTAATTTATTGTAAATTGCTAATTTTAGTTACCCAAGTCAAACTACAAAAAAAAAATGTATATATACAAACCTTCATATGTGAAATTACAAGTTACGTATATTGTCCAGAATCATGAAACAAATTAATGGAACACAGTAATGTGCAAAGATGACTTCAAAACTCTGATTACTGAACCAGTAGTGCCTGGTGGTAACAATCAATGAAAACGATTGCGCGACCGTAGATTATAACATTTTGTATTTGCAGAGGCTGTGATTGAATTCTGTCCCTCTTTTTCTGGAAGTATAAAGTCAGGATCATCAAGGCAATTCACATCATCAGGTAAATCGGTATCTACCCATTGAGACCAATCCACATCATAATCTGTGTCCATGTCCCACGACAACTCCTTTTGTTTCTGCATGCTGTTGACCTTGTTAATTAAAGTTAGCAGCATGTGATGGTTCAACAACTCATAGTTCCTGCATGATAAACAACCAATTCTGTTAGATATAATATCTTAATATATAAATAGCCAACTAGTTTAATGTTTGTATACCTACCTGTATGTGCAAATGGCATATACAAGTTGAACTGAAGCAGCTACCATGAAAAATAATCGGAGCAAGTTTATAATCCAGGTTTGTTGCTCAATGTTATCACTAGTTAAACGAATAATGAATACTTCCATGAAGAAAGTAGCACAAAGCCCTGTAAACAGATAATCATATTTACTTAATAAATTACTTACAGGTTTATAAACTAAAACTACAGATTGGTATGCTTACCAATATATAGCAAATGCCTGACATTGTATGTTTGCTTTGTACTGGTCAACATAAAGATGACGAAGATTGATATGGAATAAATGAAGAAAGCTTTAATCATTCGCGATTCAAGCAACATGGCATTTTGCAAAGCAAAAATCTTGTCCAAAGCAATAAACATAGTAGCTTGCTTTGATTCAAAAGATTCCTGTAGAGTACAAATAGAAATGCTTTATCAAAAAATATTAAAAAAAATATATATCAAAAATTAATACATAAAAGGCTAAAAACAAATAGTCTGCAAGAAGTTGCAAACCTGGGCAGACAATATTGATTTTGAATTTTCCATTAAACAATCATGAAGTCCCTTAATTTGTTCCTGTCTCTGAAGAAGCTCTTCATGTTGTCTATGCCCATATTCAGCAAAATATTGCAGGGTTTTCCTACATTACCCCACCAATGAGCTTAACATTTTTCTTTAATATAAATCCTGAATTCAAATTTATAAGAGTTAACTTTATCTACCTGCTCTCCTCCAGTGCTTTGGATTGAAATTCATTCAATGAATCTAGACCCTTGAGTGCTGTGGATTGTCCATCTAAAAGTTGTTGTTGCTTGCCTAAGGAAATCCCAGCCATATTCCCAATATCTTCAGCTTTGATTTGCAGGTCGCTCATCTTTGATGACATAGCATCTCCAACTTTAATTACCTCATTCTCAATCTCAATGGCTTCATCTCTTAACATTTCTATTTCTTTGCCCAAATTATTGTAAGAGTCCTTGAGCATTGCTACCCCTTCCTCCAAATTCCTCTTCATATCCTCTTGTCCTTCTTTTAGCTGTGATTGTGATGCTGCAATTTTAGTAGTTTGCTCATAAACACTCTCTGAATGCCTTAATACAACATCTATATGACTTTCCACACTTTTAGCAGTTTGAGCTACTTGTTGTGTGTATATATCAATTGAATTGAGAGAATCATGAATTTGTTTTGAGCCATGTAATAGTTGTTCTGATTTCTCTTCAATGCTATCTAACTTGTCCTCAGCATATTGTGCAGAACTTTTCAGTTCAGTCACAAGTCTCTCTGTTTCATGTTTGAATGCATGAGCCCTTTAAAAGCAAAAAAATAGAAGACTTTTACGTTAACTTGAGACAAACACATCAAAAAATAAAAAACCAAATAAGAAATGGATGTAATAAGGTTTGGGAAAAGAAATTGCACTTACTGTAGCTGATAACAAATGGAGTTGGTTTCAAGGTAGAATTCAAGGTAAACCTTATGGGCAAGGTCATCTAAGGTTCTAAGGCATGTAGCCATTGAAGATTTGGGATCACAATGGGGAAAGGAAAGCCTTCCAGAATCCCTCTGAAAGCAATCACTTAGATGCCAAGCAAGTCTAGACCTTTTCTCATCAGCAGCCAGTATCTCAGAACACCCAGCAAAAAGATGTTGATAAGCAAGTTGCCAACATGTGTTTGAGCCAACCATTTTCTTTTTTGCATTCTCTACTAACTTCATTCCCCTTTGGTTGTTGAAGCCTTCAATGGAAAATTCAGCACTAGAACCTCTAAATGTACCCTCATTGGCATATGATCTATCACTAGACGGAGTCTCTTTAGATGATGAAAACCAACCCCATGATGACTCGCATCTTAATGAGAAAGAAAGCAAAATAAAAACAAGAAGATGACTCCAATGACCCATTTGAGGCTTTTATCAGAACTTTGTGTTGAAGTTCCAAAAGTGATGATTAAACCTGCATCAAACCCACCATAAATTAATCAACTTTTGCCACCATAAACTAGTATTTCATTTGGAAGCATGCTGACAATTTAGAAGGTTCGAGAGGAGATCATGTTCCACGCATTCACCGTTCTTTTACAAAACAAAGATAGAAACCCAGAGTTAATTTACAGGTACAAATATATAAAAGGTACAAATATATAAAATATCAGTACTTTCTAATTTCAACATAAAAAAATAATATGAAATAAATAAAGAAACAGAGACATCCCATACGATAATGTTGTTTTTACATGAGACAAGTATGAATAGCTTCTGATTTCCTTTAGACCCTTTGGTTGGATGTCTCAAGCCTAAAGAATCCATTGGGAACAAGACCAAACAAACGTCGCACGTTTGTTCGCACTTGACTGGACAAGTTAACGCACTTAACGTGTTGCGATCGTGCCTTTTAGGCTATTCAAAACGGTAACTTCCGCAAAGTGATTGACGAAGAGGGTCTAATTAAATCTTATTATGGCTTTCTAATTATAACAAAAACAAAAATGTTACTTGTTATCCCTTATTCGGTTTTCTTCTTTTCCTTTTTAATGCACAAATATACAAGGAAAGTCTATCCTGGAAGATCCTCTATTTTCCACAAGTTGAGTTGCTTGGGTGTTAAGGTTTGGGGTATAAAAAGTAAGAGAACCTTGGGATTCAAGAAACATAAAGTCGGAAGAAACTTTATATTTTATTCCCTTAACATGTCATAATCGTCAATCACAAAAAGTAATAATATTTCATGATTTTGATTTGCAGATGATCCATTAAAATAATTTACAAAATCAGATCTTCAAAGGGATCTTCATCCTCTTCGAAAATATTGGACCGTATTAAGTCCTTTTATTTTAAGCAATGATAAAGATATACACATAAAAAAGAAAAAAGAAAAAAGAAAAATAACAATGTGAAAGCAACCAATGCACAATCTTTATAATTAAATGGAGTAACTGTTAAATAGTGACATCTAATGAATTATAACAAATAATATCAAGGGTATCCAAACAAAGAAATTATCAACAACAAAAAAAGTAAAACAAATCTCTCGTGTGCTGTATTGCTATCTTTACATTAATTAATATTAATATTACAATTCGGATTTTCATGGCCAAATAACAAGAAAATTAATATTAATTAACTGTTTCGTTAGGCCGCAGCAAAACCCAGAAACACCGACGAAAAGTGTCAGAATGAAAACCAAGAGGAATGTCAAAGTTTGAGACGAAACATGAAAGAACAAAATTTCAGGACAAGCAACAAAAATTGCAATTAAAAGAAAGATTGAATGACACAAAAATGAATCAAACCCAATGATGCTTTCACTCTTTATGTATGCACGTCACAGTCACAATCAAAGTGCAGTATATGCAGTATCTATATGCACTTCACAAATTTATGTACGTTGTTACAACTTACGACAACCAAATAAAATATATATATATATATATATATATATATATATATATATATATATATATGTTTTACGTGTGAGCGTGCCCACATCACATGTATACATGTTTTATGTTTATATATCAATCAGTATGTGAACATATGCAGTGAAATTAAAGCACTATAAGAGGGAGAGAAACCTGTAAAAAAAGAAGTACGTTTCACTCTGTATTGCTTGCTTGTAAGATCCTGAAAATCAAGCGATCCATATTATGTAGGAGGAAAAGCATACAACTGTTGCCTGTTGGAAAGGAATAAACCAACAAAACAGTGTGTTTAATCCGAAAGGGCGCGTTGGCGTCCGTTTCATACTGTCGCGTAACCTATGTATGAAGCACCCTACGGTAGCACTATACAGCATTCTGAAAGGTGTCATATAAAAATTATTTTTGATTTCACTATATAACTCACTACATTAAAAAAACCACGTTTCTATAAGACCCGTTTCGCAGAGGAAATTTTTTTTTAACACGAAAAAATAATTTTTGAGAATATGATGAGAAATTTTATTTTTTTGGATAAATTACTAAAAAAATTTTGGTAGGTCAAATTTTTTTTGAAAATGTTGAGTTAATTTTATTGATGTTGTGTGTTAATTTTTTTACCATATGGCAAAAAAATAATTTCACTCCTTCAACGGTAATCTTCCCTAGGAAATGTTTCCATATTTTTATCATATTTTTACTTCACTACTCCTACTAAACATAGGCAAATAATTTTTCCACCCCATTTTTCTAGGAAATTTTTTTTTCACCTCCTACCAAACACCCTAAGAATGCAGTCATATATATGGATGCTCGAAAAAAAATACGATTTTGAAAAGACACTACTCTATACATTTAACATCTTATTCCTTACACTTTCCTTCACATTCTATAAAAGTTCTAACAATGATGGAATATTTTCTTTATTTTTTTTTTTTCAAAACAAAATTCATCAATCCATAGTCTCAGACCCATAGACCAAACATTGGGTGGTGCAATACAAATCAATTACATACTCTTCATAAGCAAGGTTTTAGGATCTCCACTTCATGCCAAAAGTGCAAGAATCTTCTTCACTTCAAGAGCGTATAGGTTATCTCTCAGATTACCAATCGCGATCTTGTTAACCTTCTGAAGCTCCTTGATATCATGGATCGTAGCACACCTTATCTCTTCACTTGCACGTTTCACCTCAACAAGTCAAAGCATAAGCCAAAACACATAACACTCTTTCCCCCTAGCCGTTTGGTATGCGGCATTTGGTAGGATTCTCGGAAAATTAAATTTTTTTAAATTTTAAATTTTTAAATATTATCGTAAACTGAATATTTTCATCATATTTTTGAAAATCGAGATTTCTGGATAAAAAAAAAATTTCCTCTATCAAACGCCCCTCTAGTCTCGGTATTGGAATCAACTTCAGCAATGCTATTAGTTGAAATTTGAAACGATGGGTTTCATGTTAATTGTTACACTTTGTGATGTGTGTCGTGTTGAAGAATGCAATTTCCTCATCAAACAAATTCAACTTTCAATATATACAACCAAATAGTTGAGAATTATTATTTGATAATTCATCATTCCTCATAAGGGGTTATGTTACGGCCCCTAACGTCGTTAACTCACATGATAAGGGAATCACTAATAAAAGAGTGAAGAAGCAACCAGGCACTTCCAAGATTTCATTATGGGCTGAGTATAAGTCCAAGTAGCAGTAATATAGGTCCATTATATAATAGTCTGTTGCTGAGTATAAGTCCATGTATGTCACTAAGTAATAGTCCATTTTAAATTCTCGTTTTATTGCAATGTATTGGAAGAGTACAGTACAAATAGTCGTTGGGCCTAGTAAGAAGCATAAGAAATATTCAGATTTTATTCTCTCTCTCTCTCAATTTCCTCTTCCCCAAAATCTTATCACTCTCTCTCTAAAACTCAGATCTGCTTCTGTTACGTTGGTGCTTTCATTGCTATGGCTAAGAATACAAGACCGCATGAGCTTACTAACCAGATCCAATCTCATGAGCAACAATTCACCACTATGGAGCGTACACTGGATCACCGTTTGGAGACTTTTGAGCTGACACAAAATCAACGGTTTGAGGATCAAAATCAACGTTTCACAGCTGTGCATCATCAGATCCAGGATGTCTATGGCCTTCTTCAAACCATGCAGGGACAGATGACTACTCTACTCATCAATCACAATTCGGGTGTCTTAGGCTCTGGCCCGAACCCCACTGCTAGTTCTTCACGCCCTGCACAACCATCCCGTACCATGAAAATGGACTTTCCTCGATTTGGTTCAGGTGACCCAGGCCCTTGGTTGTTTGCTGTTGATCGTTATTTTCATTATCATCAGGTACCGGATCTGGAACGTTTAGATTTAGTTTCCTTCAATTTGGATATGCCTGCTTCATGCTGGTTTGAGGCACTCATGAGCCATGGTGAAATCGCTGACTGGACCACCTTTGTGCAAGCCATTCATCAACGATTTGGCCCTTCCGAATTTGATGATCCCTTAGGGTCTTTGGCCAAATTACAACAATCTGGCTCCGTTCTTGAATTTCAGGTTGCATTTGAACTGCATGCCCGACATGTCCCTGATCTTACACCATTGATGCGTAAGAGTTTGTTCATTTCTGGCTTGAAACCCCATATCCGACTGACAGATTTAGTTCATCGCCTACGCGATGTCTCTACAGCTTTTGCCTATGCGAAGCTATATGAGGAACAGTTTTCCGAAAACAGATCCAGCAAATAGTGGCAAAACCGCCCAACCGTTCCTTCTACCCCACTTGCAGCCCACCCTATTGCTGCCCAACCAATTACCATAGTTCCCCACAGCCTCAACCCCAAACCACCACCAGCTCTACCTTCTATTCCTTTTAAGCGACTCACGCAAGCTGAAATGGCAGCCCGCCGTGAGAAAAATCTCTGCTACAATTGTGATGAGAGATTCACCCCTTCCCATAGGTGCAAGGGTCGTGCTACCTTGTTATATTTGGAAGGTACAGATGAGGAAACACCTGATCAAGGATAAGAACCACCCTTTCCTCTCTCTACAGAGGAACCAGACCCACCATCCCTTGAAACCCCACCTGCTATCAGTTTTAATGCCCTTTTTGGCCATCGTTCCACAAATTCCTTTCGGCTACAAGGTAATATTGGTGGTCAACCAGTCCAAATCCTGATTGATGGAGGTAGTACCCACAATTTTATTACTCACCGCATGTCTGAACACCTTCATTTAACATTACATGTTATTCAGCCTTTTAAAGTCCATGTGGGTAATGGTGATGCTCTGTTATGTACTGCCACATGTAAAGCTACCCCTATTGATATCCAATCTCATTTGTTCACAGTGGATTTATATGTAATTGAGTTAAAAGGAGCTGATGTAGTTCTAGGTGTACAATGGTTATCCACTTTGGGCCCCATTGTCACAGATTATGCTGCTTTAACTATGTCTTTTGCTCACAATCA